AGTCAGGGGCGGGACCTCTGTGATTGGCCGTGGTCCTTTTGTGTATTTGAAAGTGCAGGCAGATAGAGAGGTGAGTAGTTTGAATAAAGCGATATCGATTCATTAAATCCTGAATCGACTTTTAAATATAAATGTCGAAACGCCAGAATCTCAGGTTAAAGCTCTCAAAACTATTTCAACAACCACCAAACAGTAAATGAGAGCAGGTAACGGACTCCACACAAAGACGTAAACACAGACCCCACGCATCAGAATCAGCTTTCTCTTTCTCGGCTTTCTCACCTGACGGCCCAAACACGGACACGCCGTCGGGGCTGAAAGCCGGCAGCTCGCCGACTCTGATGCGTCGGGTCTGCTCTGTGTTTACGTCTTTTTGTGCTCGATTCTGATGCTGCAGGTTTTATTTCTCTCCAACCAAAATTCACTGAACCAGCAGCAAAAGAAGCAGCAAACTATGTTTCACATGTGATAAATGTCGTCATTAATTCCCTCTGACCTTTGCTGTTTTGCTTCCAGCACGATAAAATCACACAGCTCTCTCTCTGTACTTCAGGAACAGTTTCCCGTCTCAAATCTCTGTTTTCTGCATTCATTGGCTTATTACCCACCGTCTACCGTTGTTTACAGCGCTGTCTTTTTCTTTTTTGTTAATTAAATGTCCTCGGACAAGAAAGACTCATTTCTGCTGTTCAATACTGAAGAAATTTATACTTTTTAAAATTATGCAAAATTGCAGAATATTTTTAAGGTTATCTGCTATAAAAAGCCAGGCCTGGAAAATCTCCTTCGATTTCTGTTTTATTCTCAGTTACTTTGACACAAAGGCCTCTGCTGTGATGTTCACACCTCTGATGAAGTCTCACAGTGTCAGTACTGATAAATGATCAGAATTATAATATTTCTGACTATTTGAGGCAAAACTGAATCGAATCGAATGGATTACAGAAATCAGTGACGATACGCAGCCCCAGTGAGCAGCCTAGGCCCGACAGAAGCGGATGTAGCTGTCAGTAATGAGGAAAGATGAAAAGAACTATTGATAACTTATTTGTTAAGGCCTGATCCGTCTGAAATTCATAGCCAGCTCTGACACGGAGCCATCAACCCCTGAATGCTGAAAAAGCAGCAGTGTATCCAGAAACACATTACATGCTGCGATAAAAGTGTCCCCTCCCCCCGCGGCCTTTCAGCAGCAAACAGGTCGTGAGAGGAGCCGATGTGATGATTACGTTTAACATTGTCTACAATATTGCCAAAGAGTGCCAACGCACTTTAAACACAAGCACTTTTTCAGTAACTTTGTGTTGACAAGATTGTTAGTTAATCATTTACACATCAGTGTTGTCTGTATAGACAGCAATTCCCCCCAAAAAGTGCACATGTAAAACTGCGGTGTTAAGCGATGCGGTTGAAAAATTTGGGTGCGCCTAACGTTGGTGCTGGTGCGCCTTGCAACCGTGGCAGAAAAGTTAGTCTAGAGCTTTGCCTAAGCAACCAAAGACGTTAGTAATCTTTTGTCATCAGTCACTCAGGTGTCTCGTTGTCCTTCACACAGCTGCTTCCATGCTTTGTCGGTTATGAACAGCTCTCTTAAGGTCCACTACAGCATTTCACCCAGCTTGAGGTGGGACTGCACCTTCACATTTGCTTTGTCACATTTTACTCTAGAATACTTTGGTATACCGAGGAGTTTACTCAATGATTGCAAGGTGCCCAGGTCTTGTTGCTGCACAAGAAGCCAACGAGTTAGTTCAGATGCAGTTTTGCAAAGCTAAGCCATGCTGGTATATTCTTTTTAGGCTCTTTTTCTCAGAAGCAAATGCAAAGATGCCATACTTGTTCCATGTTTTTTCTTACTGTATTATGTGGAACTTCAACATTTAACATGGCTAACTGAGGCATGTGGAGTCTGAGTGTAGCTCTGAGTATTGCAAGAGCTGGAATGAATTTGCTGAGACATCCACTGAGACGCGACGACAGGAAACTGCCATGAATGTTTTCCACTTGTGAAAAGTCTTTGTCACTGTAGAATGATGGATTTGAAACTGTTTGGAAATGCCCTCAAGAGCCTTATGGGCAATAATTGCTTTTTAGGTAACTGCTGATGTCTTTTCTCCATGGCAGTGAAGATACTAGATAACTGAGTGCTCCAGATCCACAAACTGCTAAAACTTTTCCTTTTCTAGAGGTGATCAAATCTACTGATAATCAATAATCACTGATTATGCTCATGCAGGATAAATAGGTGTATTTACCCACTTAATTCCTACAGGAAACAGTAGTTAATTTTTCACACATGCTTCTGCGTTTGGGCTGAATTTATATTAA